AATGCAATTAGTTTTAGCTGACCAGCCAATGTTGTATTTTGCCCATTAATTTTTTCTTTTTCACCCTAATTGTTTTATTAATTAAGTAGTTCATGTTGTCGATCAAGTGTATACTGTTAATATAGATTATAACTTAAAATTTTTCTTAATATTCTTGATCATGAAGAGCAAGGAAATATGGATGGCCAAACACCTATGTATTCACAAAAACAATGGGAGAAATGCTTTTGGGAAATTTGAAAGAAGATGTACCTCTTGTTATTGTACGTCCTACTATCATAACTAGCACCTTTAAAGAACCTTTTCCTGGTTGGGTTGAAGGTATCAGGTAATATATTTACTATTCAGAACTTTTTCCAGAAATTCAATTTTTGTGAGATTTTCTTAACAATTATATTTTCACTTAATGCAAATAATAATTCTTTTTCTTATTTTTATTTAATGGAAAAATTGCAGAACTATTGACAGTTTAGCAGTTGGATACGGTAAAGGAAGAATAACTTGCTTCCTTGGCAATCCTAAAACCATATTAGATGTGGTAAGTAAAGCTACAATTATAAATTCTACAATTAAGGGAACTATATGGTTATAATAACCGTTATATTTCTTCATAATTATAATGTATATAACTTAAATTATACAATTAAGGGAACTATATGGTTATAATAACCGTTACATTTCTTCATAAATTACTGTTGGTGAATTAATTTAATAAATTATATACATTGGCCTTTTTTTTTACACTATAGTGCGATTAAAACGGTCATATAGGTTATTATTTTATTTTTTATTTAATTATATACACCAACGTGTATAATCTTGTTGCACTACTGATATAATTTAATCCGCTATAAGAGATAAATTTTGATTTTTACTCGGTTATCAATTATTAGTCATTGTCAATTACATGTAGTTACCTTTTAAATGATCTGATAGTATAAATATCATTTACATTGTCAATAAATAAAGCTTAAAATTCTTATTTTTTTAAGTTAGCATATCAACTGTTACGAAGAGTTTTGTTATTATAGGTCATCTTAACCCGATAATATATTAACAGATTCCGGCAGATATGGTGGTGAATGCAATGATAGTAGCAATGGTGGCTCATGCTGATCAAATGGGAAGTGAGACCATATACCAAGTTGGATCCTCAGTTTCAAACCCTTTGGAAATCACTAATCTTAAAGAATATGGATTCAATTACTTCAGAAAATATCCATGGATTAACAAAATGGATGGAAAACCTATTATTGTTGGCCAAGTTACAATGTTGAGTACTATGGATAGTTTTCGCAAATACATGGCCCTTCATTACTTGCTTCCTTTGAAGGTAATTTCTTCATCTCTTTCTCTTGCACCATGCTACTAAGAATAAAAGCAGACATAATTATTAGAATTTTAGTAGATTTTTACATATATATCTGTATTCTGTGTCAAAAGATATGGATTCAGATGAACCCGTAGCCGGTAGGCTACATCACCCCCGGTTTACAAGTGCTAGACGTTAGAATAGGGGTGTACATAAAATTTTGTATAAATAGCTTTAACTAAGGTGGACTAAAGATTTGAAGTTTATGGGTTACTATTACGACCTCAAACTAATATATATAATAATAACTAGGTTCATCATTAAATATTTATAAATATTAATGAAATTCTTAATAGTAACTAATATTATTTGTTGTTGTTTTATAGGGATTGGAAATAGTTAACACAGCATGTTGCCAATACTTCCAAGGCAAATACTTGGAACTTTACAGGAAAATCAAGTTTGTAATGCGGTTGATAGACCTTTATGGACCCTACTTATTCTTCAAGTCAATGTAAGTAAAATCATTTTTTAAATATTCTAAAACAAGAAATCATATTTTTCAAATTTATTTTACTTTATGGTTTCATCAAATATTTTATTAAATAATTTGTCTGTATTTAATGGAGAGTATTTTCTACAGATTCGACGATTTAAATACAGAAAAATTACGTATGGTAGCAAAAGAGAGTGGCGTTGAAACGGACATATTCTACTTTGATCCCAAGACTATCAACTGGGAAGATTATTTCATGAAAACTCATCTTCCTGGAGTTGTAAGATACGTGTTTAAGTAGTTAATTAATTAATGCTGAAATTTGATCATTACAAAATTAAGATGATTTATATTGCTAGGGAGATTTAAAGTTATACCATTTTAAATTGTATCAAATTTTACTCATTGTTGTTACGAATTTCATTCAGTGTATCCATTTCAATTTGTTGTATCATTATTCCTATTTGTTCTAAAAGAAGATGTTATAGCAAACTGAAGAAAGCATTTATCTATAAAATAATTGCGTTTCTTCTTCCTGTTATTTTTTTATTTGTTTCTTTTTTCTATTTTGCCATTGGAATATGTGGAAATAGTTATTTTTTTATTGACTCAAATAGATATAGGAAGAAAGGTTCACAAACCACACATAACACTGTTATTCAGCTTCATTGTCACGGTCATATTTATCCTTTCTGCACCTACAGATGAATCGTTATGTACTACACCCAAATTAACACCACTTAGGTCCTAAATTCGGCAAAGTTCGAGGCCAAATTAGTATTTCTTTTTCATTTTATTTTCACGTGGTAATTAAAAAGGTCAACATATATAAATTATAAAATATGTCAACTTGAACTTCGCTAGAAATGGACATATATAATACGTTTAATGAGGAGGATCACTTTCTAACTGGATTTTTTAACAGTGTATATAGATGACTAGTTTCAAAAAATTGACAAGCAAATTTGAACTTTTTTTATTTTTTTTTACCAGAGGAGTTGCTCCTATGGTCAGCATTCCCCACCTATAATTCCAGAATTGCGGGTTTAAGTCACCAAAAGAGCAATAGTTCCAACATAGGGGATCAAAGGGAGGGGAATAAAAAAAAAACTTTTTTCAAGACGGTGACATTCCTTCATTCGAGGAAGAGAGAGAAAATTAGCTCGGTTAGTCATTTTTTGGGCCGACAATTAGAATTAGTCAGCTTTTCAATTGCATTAGCAAAGTAGTTACTGGTACGACTAAATTAACGTTTTCCCCCAACTAAAATACGAAATACAACTCCAACGATCGACACTGGAGTTCGAAGCTTTGGCAAGTGGAACCCCAGTAAATTATGCTGGAGTTTAAATATTTACTGAATTTTCAAACACCATGAACTATTCCTGATTTTTGTATCTTTACTCATACAAATTCTAGGAACGATTCCTTTTTTTTTTTTGATCTTTTACCCATTGAAGAGCTCAACTATGGCATCAGACGAAAGCATCCATAGATGTAGTGAGAGAGAAGAGAAGAGAAGCTCCAAAAACAATAGGAAATGAAATTTGTACATTGTTTATAACTAACTAACTAACTAACTGCTACTTATACAACTAACTACCGACTTTATTTAACTTAATCACAGCTCATTGACAGTTGTACACCCACACACATAGAGTTTTCTACACTCTCCCTCAAGTTGAGGAATGAAAACAAGTTTTTCATTCCCATCTTGCTCACTAAGTATTCATGTTGTGGACTACAAAGACTCTTTGTCAGCACTTCTGTAAGTTGTCATTTGGTTCCAATATGTTGTGTTTGAACTAGACCTTCCTGAATCTTCTCCCTCACAAAATGATAGTCTATATCAATGTGTTTTGTCATCTCATGAAAGATGGGATGAGCTGCAGTTTGAATAGCAGCTTTGCTATCACAGAAGAGTTGTATTGGAACTTCAACCTCAATGCTAAGTTCTCTGAACAATCCTGTTAGCCATGTAATTTCAGCTACTGTTGTGGCCATGCTTCTGAATTCTGCTTCAGCTGAGCTTATGGAGACTGTTCCTTGCTTCTTTGATCCAGGATATCAAGGCTTCTCCAAACTTGATCACATAACCAGTTACTGATCTTCTTGTTTTCACACAAGCACCCCAATCTGAATCATAGTAAGCAGTTAACTTCATATTTCCACCTGCTGGCATGAACAGACCTAGGTCTGAAGTTCCCTTTATATATTTGATGATTCTCACGGCATCACTCATGCGAGACTGTTTAGGAGCATGCATGAACTGACTAAGTACTTGAACCATAAAGGCTATGTCAGGCCTAGTCATGGTCAAGTACAATAGTCTACCTACTATTCTCTGATATCTCCCTTTGTCTTCAAGTTCACTGTCAATGTCACTACCATTCTTGTTGACAATCTTATCAAATTCCATAGAGGTTAGCTTGTGATTGAACTTTAGTGGAGTAGTCACTGGCTTTCCACCTGACAAACCAAGCTCAGAGACTAGTTCAAGTGCATACTTTCTTTGGCACATTTGAATTCCCTTTTCTGATCTGGAGAATTCAATGCCCAAGAAGTATTTTAGGTCCCCAAGATCTTTCATTTTGAACCTGACCTGTAAATCCTTCCTCATTTGCTCAATCAGCTTCAAGTTAGTTCTTGTTACTAGGAGATCATCTACATAGACAAGTATGACTACCAAGTCGGATCCCTTTTGTTGTGTGAAGACAGAATAGTCATAATGAGAATGTTTGAACCCCATATATAGTAGAGCTTCTGTTAATTTCAAGTTCCACTATTTAGGAGCTTGTTTGAGCCCATACAAGGATTTGTTGATCCTGCACACCTTCTGATACTCCCCCTGGCTTGAAAAGCCATCTGGAATTTACATAAAAACCTCTTCAGAAAGGTCCCCTTGGAGAAATGCATTACGCACATCCATCTGAAAAATGGACCAGTGAGAACCTGCTGCCAGAGCTACTACAGACCTCATTATAACTATTTTGGCCACATGAGAGAATGTCTCAGTATAGTCCAGTCCCTCCTGTTGGCTATAGCCTTTGGCTACAAGCCTGGCTTTGTATATTTTCACTTCTCCTTTTGATTTGTATTTTATCTTGAATACCCATTTACAATCAATAGGAGTTTTGCCCTGAGGAAAATCAACTATGGTCCAAGTCTGGTTCTCTTCAAGTACTGCTATTTTAGCCTTCATAAGATTAACCCAGAGGGGATCCTTGCAGGCTTTAGCGTAGGATGAAGGTTCAAGTACTGCTGAGTAAGCATTCAAAGAAGCTTTATAGGCAGGGGACAAGTGATCATAGCAGACATAGAAGGAGATATGACAAGAGCAGAAGGGCAGCTTAGACTGCACCACATAATCCTGCATCCACACAAGTGGTTTATAGGATCTAGAAGATCTTTTGAGTGTCTCCATAGCTGGCTGAATCACTGGCTGAGATGATGATGAAGAAGTACTGGAACTAGGAGATGAAACAGAAGAATATGGTGGAAAAGACACAACAGAAGAAGCAAGAGAAGAAGAAGTTTCCTCAGCAATGGAAGAAGGTACATGATCAGACACTAAGTTCTAGAATAAGGAATAGAGGTGTGATCTTAGACTTCATGTCTCTGAATGGAAAGATATCTTCCATGAAGAATGCATCTCTGCTAACAATTTTTTTTTACTACTGAGATCATATAAATGATAGCCTATCTGAGTGACAGAGTACCCCAGATGAACAACAGAAATTGCTCTAGGACAGAACTTGTCAGTTTTCTTCACATTAGTGGCATAACATAAGCTTCCAAATACTTTTAGATGCTGCAAGAAAGGAGCTTTATGAAACAGTCTCTCAAATAGAGATTGGACCCTTAGAAGAGTGGTAGGTAGTCTATTTAGAAGGTACACTGCAGTTATTACACACTCTCCCTAAAATTGTAAGGGAATGAATGCTTGGAATCTCAAGGCTCTAGCCATATCTAAGATATATTTGTGTCTTCTTTCTACCACCCCATTCTGTTGGGGTATGTAGATTCAAGAACTTTGATGAATCACTCCATGCTTCTTAAGTAACTGATTTACCTACTCATTGAAGAACTTAGATCCATTGTCTGTTTTGAGACACTTAAGAGCACAATTAAAATGAGTCTTGATCAATACACGAAAATCTCTCAGAATAACAATTGAGTCTGACTTATTATTCATTAAAAATATCCAAGTATATCTAGAGTAGTCTTCTACCAGAGTCATGAAATATCTCCTACCATCTTGTGTTGGAACTCTATAGGGACATCAAACATAAGCATGAGCAAGATCAAATGCAGAAACAGAACTGCTATTACTTAAGGAAAAGGGCAATCTTGTTTGCTTGGCAATGGGACATACAATACAATTATGATTTTTCATATGTATGTCTTTTAGACTACTAATGCTCCTCAATATATTTAGAGGTGGATGTCCAAGCCTCCTATGCCACAAAGATATGCTATCACAAGATGTATGCCCACCCTCAGTTTTATTTTTAGTACTGAAACTAGAGATGCTACCTACACATGAACTATTTACATATAAAGCAGGCAGGCTATGTTTACTGGCAGAATCAGAACTGAATCCTCCTTGTGATCTAGCTTTCAGTATGTAGAGGCCCTGATCCTCCTTACCAATTCCTATCTCTTTCCCACTGAAGAGTTCTTAAAACAAGCAGAAATTAGGAAAGACTATTGCTAGACATTTTAACTCTTTTGTGATCTTTGAGACTGATAACATATTGTACTTGAAGTCTGGAATATATAGAACATTATGAAGTGTTCTATCTTAAAAAATGTGTGAATCACCAGTTTTCTTAATGATTACTTGTTCTCCAATAGGTAGGTGCACTCTGTTTATTTTTAAACTTGTCAACTCATTGAATTTACTTAGCAACCTCAAGTTGTGCACCATGTGATTAGTAAACCTCGTGTCAACTATCCAGTTATTATCAACTAGATTAGACATAAAGGCTGTGGTAATACCAGCAAGTCCTACTTTAGTTGTGTTGGCCACAAATTCAACTTTCTTTCCTTGATTCAGCATTTGCAAAATTTGAGAGTATTGTTCTGGAGTGAAGAATTGAGCAGGTCATGGTAATTGTGTAGATGAGGAGTTCTCAGTAGTCTGAGAGCTGGACTAGGACAGATTCTACTGCATATCAGGTGCTGAAGGTGCTGAACTAGTCTTAATCACATTGTTGGCATAGTTGTTAGGTCCCCCTCCTTTCTTTTTGTACTTGAAATCAGCTGGATGACCATGTAGCTTATAGGAATTATCCTTTGTGTGACCCTTAAGCTTGTAGTATTCACAGTAAGGGGAAGCCTTCCCATAGATATTTCTAGGTCTATAACCACCTTCACTTGCTCCTCTGTTGCTTAAGAGTGCAACAGGTTCTCCATTCTCAGTACCAACACCACTGGTATTCCCTCCTCCTACTTTCCTTTGGCTCTCAACATTAACAATCATAGAATAAGCTTGATTTATGTTTGGCAGTGGTCTAATCATGAGAACTTGATTCTTAGCATTCTCATAAGACTCATTTAAACCAGACAAAAATTGGTACAATTTTTGCAATTGATAATGTTCAGCATGTTGCCTGGACTCAGGACATCCACAAGAGGGTGGAGGAGCCAGAGTTTCATATACATCCCACAACTCACGTAGTCTCAAAAAATATACAGATACTGAAGACACTCCCTGAACTAGTGTGGCAATTTTCTTATGCAAATAGCAGGCTCTAGATGCATTCACTTTGTCAAATCTCTCTCTCTCTCTCTCTCTCTCTCTCTCTCTTAAGTCTTCCCACACCTTATATGCATTCGAGGCATATATCACTGTGCTAATTAGACTTGAGAAAACTGTATTCATTATCCATGCTAACACAATTGAATTATACCTATCCTACAACTTATGTAGACTAACATCATACATCTTCTTTCTACAGGTTCCTAGCACAAATCCTAACTTGTTTTTACCGTGAAGAACAATTTTCATTGATTTACTCCAAATCGAGTAATTTTCAGAACCTTGAAGTTGAATTGAGATAAGACCAGAACCTTGAGTGTCTGAAGGATGAATGTATAGTGGATGATTGTGATGAACAAGCTCAAGATTCTGCGTGTTGTGCGATTGGGCAACTGGTGTACTTGATGTTTGAGCAGTCGGTATTTTTTCATTAATTGGCATCATTGCGACACAAAATTAGCAGAAACACTTCCTTATCTCTTCACTAAATCACAATTGAGCACTGAATTGTACTCGTAATTTCTCCAAAAAAAAATAGAGATGTTCGTTGAGTTTCAGCCAGATACAGAAAAGCCCTAATTTTGGAACTTTTGCTCTTAGCTGAGGAATTGACTCAACAACTGCTGCTTAACACTCGTATGATGTTTGCTGAGCTGAGAAATCTAGCTCACAGCTCTGATGCCACGTTGAAGAGCTCAACTATGGTGTCAGATGAAGGCATGCATAGATGTAGTGAGAGAGAAGAGAAGAGAAGCTCCAAACTTATTCCATTAAATGAACAATAGGAAATGAAATATGTACAATGTTTATAACTAACTAACTGCTACTTATACAGCTAACTACCGACTTTACTTAACTTAATCACAGCTCATTGACAACTGTACACCCACACACCTAGATTTCTCTACATTACCTAGTGCAAACTCCATAAACGATTCCTAAGTTTTAAACCTTTACTAGTACAAACTCCATGAACAATTCTTGGTTTTTGAATTCACATTGTACTTCAGCAATCGAGAGCTCCGACTTCAGGTCAGTCTTTTTGTCATCATTTCCTTACTAAAAAAATTAGATTGAGTGTGTACATTTCACACTGTCAGAGATTACTATAGGGACTTTAAGATTGTGCTCTCCCATAAATTATATCTTTAGAATAGATTCGTTGGAAATCAAAACATGAGGTTGCTGGACTGCAATTTCTCAATGGAATCAGTATGTGTAACTTCTTTAAAGAATAAATAGTAAAGAGAAAGATGACGAACAATCGATTTCTTTAACGGAGCTGGGACGTTGGTGGCAGTGAGTTGCAAGACCTATACAGTAAAGTGCATTAACAAAGAAGGATTTTAAATAAAGTTATAAACTCCAGCACCTTATACTGGAGTTTACTCTTGAAAGTTATGAATTCTAATGCTAGGGTTTTACATATAAGGGAATTCTAAATTCCAGGAATAATTCATAGATTTTGAGCTAAATAATATTCAAAGTCCTTTAGTCATTCCTATAATTTTTTGTGTCTTAATTGGGAGTATTTTTGTTCAAAAAAAATTTCATGTCACAAGAGTGGCTAAATGCTACTCTCTCTATTTTAAAAATAATGAACCTATTTCCTTTTTAGTCCGTTTCAGAAAGAATAATCCTTTTCTAAATTTGATAAAAATATAACTTTAAACTTTTTATTTTACCCTTATTGAGACGATTTATAGCCACACAAATATCTATTGTATTGATTTACGAGACAAGCGGTAAAGTTAACGATATACTGGAGGTCTGAAGATAGACCATTTAAAGGTTTGAGGACATTGATCATGAGAAAATAGTGTACATGAAATGCAAGTTCAGTGATGCATCATATGAGGCGGATGTAAAAGTGAGGATTGATACAAAATTCATCCCCAAGAGGGGAAGCTTCAAGTATCTCAGATCAATAATGCAAGGAAATAGGGAGATCATACATCGTATTGGAGCGGGGTGGATGAACTAGAGGCTCGCATCCGATCTCCTATGTGATAAAAATGTGACAACAAGACTTAAAAGTAAGTTATATAGAGTGATTATTAGACCAACTATATTGTATGGGGCAGAGTGTTGGCAACACAAGAACTCACACGTTCAAAAGAAAAAAAGATAGGTTAGCTATGATAGGTCTAAGGAGAGGTAGAGGTAGACGAGGAAGAATTGGGGAGAGGTGATCAGATATGACATAACACATCTTCAGCTTACTGAGTACATTTGTAATGACCCAACCGGTCATTTTGACTTTTAGAACCTCGTTCCCCTAAATAAAACTCCTCATATGTTCTTTTATTAATTTATGACTTGCGGGGATGGTTGATTCGGGATTTGAAGTGTTCGGGTTGAAATCAGAATACTTGGTTCCTTAAGTTGACCTTAAAATGCTAAGTTTGACTTCGGTTAACATTTTGAGAAAATGACCCCAGAATAGAATTTTGATGATTCCAACAGCTCCGTATGGTGATTTTGGACTTAGGAGTGTATTCGAAATTTTATTTAAAAATCCGTAGTTAAATTAGAATTGAAATGGCTAAAATAGGAATTTAAGCTTGGAAGTTTGACCGATGAGTTGACTTTTTGATATCGGAGTCGGAATCCAGTTCGGAAATTTTTTATAGCTCCGTTATGTCATTTATGACTTGCGTGCAAAATTTAAGGTCAATCGGACTTGATTTGATAGGTTTCTGCGTCATTTGTAGAAATTGAAAGTTTCAAAGTTCATTAGGCTTGAATCTATGTGTGATTCGTATTTTTAGTGTTGTTGGATGTGATTTGAGGACTCGACTAAGTTCGTATGATGTATTAAGACTTTTTGGTATATTTGGTTGAGGTCTCGAGGGGATCGGGTGCGTTTCGGATGCTTAACGAATCATTTTTGGACTTGGCTTGATATCTGAAGTTCTGGTTTCTGCAGGTTCTGGTTCCCTTCTACGCGATCGCGTGAGAAGGTATGCGATCGCGTAGTAATTGGGCAGCTGGAATTTTGTGCTATGCGATCGCGTAGGTTGGGCCAGTCTGTGTATTGCGATCGCGTGGCATTGTTTGCGATCACGTAAGGTTAATTGAGGGCTGCTGAGTTTTGTGCTTCGCGATCGCGTGAAGTGGGATGCAGGCGTGTAGCTTTGAGCTTTTGTGACTCGCGAACGCGTGAAGACGGTTGCGTTCGTGTAGAGTAACGGAGCAGAAGTGGAGGTCACACGTTTGCTCTATGCGATCGTGTGCAGAGGGCTGCGATCGCGTAGAGCTGGGAACTCTGTGCTTTGCGATCGCGTGGGGATATCCGCGATCGTGTAGAGTTAATTTGGGCAGCAAAAATTTGTGCTTCGCGATCGCGTGTGGATGTTCGCGAACGCAAAGAGTAAAAGCCCGTGCAGAGAGTTTAAGTTCTAAAAATGGGACTTCATCCCATTTTCCATTTTTAACGATTTGGAGCTCGGATTGAGGCGATGTTTGGGAGATTTTCACAGGAAACATTGGGGTAAGTGTTCTTAACTCAATCTTGGTTAGATTACTCGAATCCATCACTGTTTTTAACAATTAATTGGTGATTTAAGTTAGAAAAATTTAAAAACCCTCTTGGATAGATTTGAGGATTTGAGGGTCGAATTGTTATTGGAATTTAGTTATTTTGGTATGGTTAGACCCGTGGTTAAATGGTCGTTCATATTTCATAACTTTCGCCGGATTCCGAGACGTGGGCCCCACGGGCAAGTTTTAAGTTAATTTCGGATTTTTATTGAAAAATGTAGTATTTTCTTATGGAATTGATTCTATAATTTTTGTTGACTGTATCGAATTAATTATGACTAGATTCGAGTCGATCGGAGTCGAAAAATCAAGAAAAAGGCATACTACTTGGTTAAATTGGAGCAAGTCGAGGTAAGTGACTTGTCTAACCTTGTGTGGGAAAAATTTTCCCGAGGATTGGTATTGAAGTGATAAATTAAAATGTGTTAAAAGTCGTGAACACGAGGTTACGAGTGTGTACACGGGCTAAATGTGAAAGATTATATCTTTAAATTGTGTAGATCGCTGTTGCATATCAATTAAATAATTTTACCTTGTTATATTCTTCATCATTGATTTTAAATGTTTATAATTTAAATTGCTTGACCTTTTCCTGCTAATTGTTACCTGTTTAGTTGGAACTTGGTTTCTTTTATTCCATGCATTATTGAAAGGTTGATTTTATTTAAATTAAATATTATTAATACGAAGTATTTGACATTTTTAAATTTGGTATTTAAGTAACATATTAAAGATTTTGAAATATTATTTTGTTG